TCTAAACCCTGGCTATATTGCTATCCGCTCTTTCCAAAATGTGGTCCTCAGGCTCTGTGTAAAGGTGAAGAGGGGGCACCAACGATTAAGCTCGGAGTTTCAGGCTGCGTAGCAGTGCTGGCTACATTCTTTTGCCAGAACCGAATCAGCTGGCCCCATCCCAAAAGCCGTATGTAATTTTCACATCTGCCAAAAGAAGGGAAGAGGAATATGATTAATGAGCATCCAGCCTGTGTGGTCACCAAAGTATTCTTCAGACTTCCTCTAACGTGGCCTGCCAGATTACCTGCCAGATTACCCTGCGTGTGGCTAAGATGTTTTAGTAACTTGACTTTCCTATCTCCTTTTCCTAACTACCTTTCTCCTACTTCACCTGAGAAAATAGCTGTGTGTCATTCATCATCTATGTTACTATTCTTCATTGGCCAAAGCTAGAGATCTCCAGGGGCAAAAAAAAAAAAAAAAAAAGGGACAGGTTGGTGTCAGGAAGAATCCTTTAATAAAGGCATCAGCAATGCCCAGGGGGACTTCCTCTTTCTTTTCCCTTTGCCATTGCTTTTTGTAAGAGGAAAACATGATATCAGGACTGATTGTCCCGTCAGCATGTTCTGAACCAAGACATGTTAGAGTGAATGTGCACAGAGGATTCTAGTTTTCATCTAATATGCTTGCTTCAATCATCATAAAATTTTATTCAGAAAGTACAGAATTGTGAGAAAGATATCTTTGTAAACTGCTTAATGAAAATCTCTATGAAATGCAGTAGGTAGTGACGTCTTATTTCATGCACACACACACACACACACACACACACACACACACAACTTAATATGGTGAAGTTCCAGGCTCCATCTGCTGCCCAACTGTCTCGCTGGCTTTTTCTTTAATTTGGAAGTGAGATGACTGTCATGCCAATGAATACCAACACAGATTTTTTTTTATTAAAAATAAAGTTAAGACTAAGAGAAAATAGATATGATTAGGCAGAGTTGACACTGAGAATGAATTTCTGATTGTATTACAAGGTAGATGTGTTTTTCATTTATCTATCTCTGTTCCTTCCATCATTTCTTTCTCTCTTCCTTTTTTCCCTACAATAAGTATATTCAAAGAAAGTCATGCACCATTTTTCCCCCCAAAGGCAATATAAGGCTTGTACAAAAGTAATTGCATTCTTTCTGCTTTAATTTTCCTAACTCACGCTAGTATTTTTCCTTTTGGATATTTTGTTTGTTTTGTATGGCATTTCTCATCTCTTATTTTGCTAACCAATTTGTGTTTACTATTCACTTTTTATTTCAGGATTATCTTTCACTTCTCTTATTAAGTAAATGAAGTGTCTCTTAAATTGCCATCCATTCTGAATTCTCTGCTCATTTCCTTCTTCATAGTGCTAATGCATATTTACTTAAACAGTAATAATTTATCAATTTTTTGCATATCAATAAATTATGATTTTGTTACATACCTTGTTATCTTGTATAGCACTAATCATGTTGCTTTTCACCTGCTTACTCTGCTTTTTAAACTTTTATTTTGCTAATTACAGTCAACTATTTTGCCACATATTTTCCACACTGCTAATGTCATTGGATAATCTAGAAATTATAATACTTATATATGCTTATATATATTTAAAATGTAGAAAGGAAAATAGCGAGCTCTCAGCTAATCTAAAAACCTGACATACTGTCAGATGCTGTCAATCCCCCGTCTAAGTGACAGGGGTCCAAATACTCGAGTCTCCCATGATTCGCTTTAACGGGAAGCTGGGTGAAAAAGTGAAATGTTCACACGTGACTGCGGTAAGGCCATGTGTTACTGGCCAAAGTCATGACATGACCTCTCCTTGCTTAAGAGGTGCAGGGGAGTGTGGCCTTAGAATACAGTTCAGAAAAGAGCACAGAAATACTAGGTGCACAGTGCTAAAGGGTTCCTGTTTGGGTATTAACAGTTCACAGTCCGCTTCAGCTTTCTGGATATTGGTTTGTTCTCCAGATCGGTTTCTTCTCTGGCTTTCCCGTGCTTGTTTACAATTTATTGCTTTAATTCTGCTAAGCTGGTTGGCACCAGCAGATATTGATGCTGCTATTTCTTTTCATTTCCTTCTCTTTCTGTTACTTGAGAGTATAGTAAGAAATATTATTTTTTAGTGAGCTTCTAAAAGACATGTATTTGTTGTATATCATTATACTTATATCATCATTGTATAGTATATAATCAGTGAGTTAGTTTTGTTACTTTGAATTGTTAACAAAAATATATTTAAAGATTGGTATTTTAAAAAATATTGTTTAGATATTCAAATATTGTTTATGCATATACATAATCTTTCAGGCTTTCCAATTATTCTCATATATGTTGGGTTTAAGATGTTTCTAAGTGGGGCTCGGTGTCTTGGCCTAGCAGCTGCAGTCCTTGCCTTGAACGTGCCTGGATCCCATATGGGCACCTGGATCCCATATCCAGCTCCCTGCTTGTGGCCTGGGAAAGCGGTGGAGGACAGCCCAAAGCCTTGGGACCCTGCACCCACGTTGGAGACTTGGAAGAAGCAAAGAAGCTCCTGGCTCCTGACTTCGAATTGGAGTGAATTATATTTATGTCTGTCTCTCCTCCTCTCTGGGAATCTGACTTTGCAATAAAAATAAATAAATAAATCTTTTTTTTTTTTCTTAAATAGCTGTTTCCAAGTGGAAACTTAGCAGCTTTTGGAGTTTTGGGAAAAGACAGTTTAATTTTCCAGAAATGTATTGATTCCTGAAGTGGCGATTTCTTTCTAGAAGTCAGAAAGCTTCAGATTCTTTGCTTTTGTCAATTAAAATAAATGCTAACACATTTATTCTAGTAGTTGATTATTGATCCAAAATATTGCTTAATAAAAACAAAATATCCGTGAAAAAATGTGACTCTGTTATCCATGTGTGTTTTGCTCAAAAGTCTATAATCCATTTGTATAGAGTAAGCTTCCCATAATTGTTGATCAGGTGTAGGAATGTTAGACAATTGTGCTTCTGGAGATTGGCCAGCTGCTGGCTAGGATGTCTCAGCCCTGAAACATGTGGTCTTGTTTATTGCTATTTACTGGGCTTGTTCTCTTTGTGGCAACAGGGTTCAACAAGGAGAAGCAATAGCTGTATTGCATTAGCCTGTATTGCAATAGCTTGTATTACCACATAGCTATTTCCGTGGCATTTACTGAGTTATCTCACTTACCAGGGCTGCCCCAGATTCCAGGGGTAGTAAAACAGGCTTTCCTTGATGGGAAGACTCACAATTTCACATTGCAGAATATGTAGATGAATGAAAGAGTGAAGAACTGGAGCTGATTTGCAGGCTTTTGTCCTGACTGTTACGTGAACATTACAAGTTATTTTTGATGTTGAAAATTTAAATTGGGATTGGGGACCCACAATATGACAAATTGGGTGAAGTGCGTGCTTGTGATGCCAGCATTCTGTATCAGAGTGTGGTTTTGGGTCCCTGCTGTTCCCCTCTGGAGAAGGCAGCCAAGGATAGCACAACACTTTGATAGCACAATACTCTCACCCACGTGGGAGGCCTAGGTGACATTTCTGAATCTTGTCGTTGGGCTGGATAAGCCCTGGCAAATACAGTGATTTAGGCAGTGAACTAACAGGTGGAAGATAGGTCCCTCTCTCTGTTATTCTTTCTTTCCTCTCTCTTCCCATTCTCCCTTCTCCTCCTCTTTTTTTTTTTTTTAAGATTTATTTATCTTTATTGCAAAGTCAGATACACAGATAGGAGGAGATACTGAGAGGAAGATCTTCTATCCGTTGATTCACTCCCCAATCAGCCACAAAAGTCTAAGCTGGAGCCTAGAGCCTCTTCTGAGTCTCCCACATGGGTGCAGCATCTCAAGTCTTTGGGTCATTCCTGACTGCTTTCCCAGGCCACTAGCTGAGAGATGGATGGGAAGTAGGGCTGCCAGAATTTGAATGGGGCACCCATATGGGATTGAGATGCGTTTAAGGTGAGGACTTTAGCTGCTAGGCCACGGCGCCAGGCCTTAGACTATTATTATTAAGATGTTGTTTCCAATAAAATTTTATAATTCAGATTTAATAAATGATAAAATTGAAAATGCATTATTAAAATGGTATCTCTGTAATCATAGCAAAATTCATTATAAACTGAAAATAAATGTTTTAACGCTTGGACCTTTATAAATTTCACTGAAGAATGGATATATGTATATATAGCTGGGGCCAGGAGCTGTGGCACAACAGATAAAGCTGCCACTTGTGGCATTGGCATCCCGTATGGGAACTGGTTGAAATTCTATCTGTTCCAGTTCTAATCCAACTCCCTGCTAATTTCTTAATTAAAAAGCAGAGAATGGTCCAAGTGCTTGGGGCCCTGCATCTATGGGGCAGACAAAAACTCCTGGGTTTAGTTACTAGTCTGGTTTCTGACTGGCAGTTTCCAGCCAATGTAGTTTATGGTCATGAATTACTCAAGTAATTGTGTCCCTGCACCCCAGGTACCAGATCTACATTAGGTTGCAGCTGGAACTCTCTCATCAGGCCCCAGCCACTGTAGGCATTCAAGGAATGAAGGTGTCCTCTTTCTGTTTCTCTTTTCTTGCCTTTTGTCTTTCTCTCTTTTGCTTCCTTCTATTCTCTTCATCTCCCCCTCTAAAAATATAAAACATGACCCTAAGAACATATGTAATTAATGTAGTCTAATATGTGAATATCCATGCATATGTGTAATGTGTTTGCATCTATGTTTTGATGCTAGGGGAAAAGGTAGCTATTTTAAGAAACTATTCGGAGAGTCACAGAGGTCTGTCAGTCCTCTTAACCACCAAGTATGCAATTTCTTCATAGCACAGACACCTGTACAATGTTAATGAGACAGCAATTTTTAAAGAAAACCAGAAAAGGAAGTTTCTGGAAAAGATGGACTAGGGGTTGTCCTCTTAATAACCTTGTTCAGGATTACTCATCTGTTGTCTTCTCTGTTTCTGATTATTCCAGAACGCTGTGATGACTGGGGACTGGATACCATGCGGCAAATCCAAGTTTATGAAGATGAGCCAGCCCGCATTAAGTGCCCACTTTTTGAACACTTCTTGAAATTTAACTACAGCACAGCTCATTCAGCTGGCCTTACGTTAATCTGGTATTGGACTAGACAGGACCGGGACCTTGAGGAGCCAATTAACTTCCGCCTTCCTGAGAACCGCATTAGTAAGGAGAAAGATGTGCTCTGGTTCCGGCCCACTCTTCTCAACGACACAGGAAACTATACCTGCATGCTAAGGTAGTCTATCTCCGGATGCTGACTTTCTTCACTCCCTTTAATTCCTTTGCGTTTATGCAGATAATGGTTGTGCTATGAAGCTGGGGAGGGAAAGGAAACATTTAGACAGAATTATAATTTGCACTGTTGGTTTCACTGAAGAGGGAGGAAGGAGATACGTGGAGACAATGGTTTTGTTCTAAGAAAAGTACCCTTGGGTGGCTCCATTTCAGACCCTGATGCATGTCATCATTGTCCAGAGGTAAAACTTTATTTTTTTGCCCTTTTTCCATGACGTTGGAATTTGTGTACATGGCACCAGAACCTGCCTAAGTGACAAGCATATGTTTTCTTGGATAGGAAGAGGGCAGGAAGTAGAGTCCATTCTTATGTTATTCTTGGCGTTTTTCAAAGTACTTGACACAATAGAGACACAGGGTGTCTTTGAAAGAGTATTTGGGAGATGTCAATGTATTTAGGACAATGCTTTTTAAGCTTTTCTACCAGAATTCCTCTAAAAAGCAAGTGAACACCATACCCTGGGAATCTGAGTATGAAGCAGCCTATCATGATGGTCAACTTTTTTTCAAATCCACTTTTTTCATTATAGCTATGGGGAGATTTTCTTTGTTACTACACAATATGATGGCTTCTTTTTTACTACATGTCAATGTTGCTTTTGCTTTCCAAGAAATAAAACTTTAAAAACATGAATCTCCAAAACAAATAACCATTTTAAGCTTTAATTCTTAGTTTTGTTTTTAAACTGTGTCTCTTCTTAGCGTCCAGGATTTACCATTTTCCTAACTACGAGATGTGCTGTTAGTGCTTTGTTTACTTATTTATTTTTAATATGGTTTAGATTTGTTCAGTCAATATGTTGGTGAACTAGGGATGCAAATGCACAATACTACAGACTGGATGATGTAAAAAGAAGTTTGTCAGGGCCAGTGTGATAGCCTAGTGGGTGAAGTGCTTGCTTGCTCTGCATGCGCCAGGGTCCCATATGGGCACCAGTTCATGTCCCCGTGGCCCTGCTTCCCATCCAGCTCCCTGCTTGTTGCCTGGGAAAGCAGTCAAGGATGTCCCGAAGCCTTAGGCCCCTACACCCGTGTAGGAGACCCAGAACAGGCTCCTGGATCTGGATTGGCTCAGCTTCGGCCATTACAGCCATTTGGTGTGTGAACCAGAGGATGGAAAATCTTCCTCTCTATATATCTGACTTTCCAATGGGAAAAAAAAATCTTTTTAGAAAAGTCTATTGTCCAGTGGTTCTGGAGACTTGAAGTCCAAGATTAAAGTGTGGGTAGGGTGGTTTTCATTCCCAGTGCCTCTGTCCTCAGCTTGTATTTGGCTGACTTCTCTCTCCATGTCTTCATGTGACTTTTCTGTTTTAAAATACTACCCATATTCATGGATCAATATTGTTTACATGTTTCTGTTACCAAAGAGTTTTGGAATTTTAATGCAAATCCCACCAAAATAACATTTTACGCAGAAGTAGGAAAAACAATCCCAAAAGTAAATTCACTTGTACGTGATAGTACCATCATATGAAATATCATGACATACCGTAAAGAGACTAAAACAAACACCATGATACGGGATGATACAGCATAGAAATAGATATATATAAACCAGTGGAATACAATCAAAACTCCAGAAATCTATCTTTTCTTCTGTGTGTTTCTGTGTCTTCATTCCCTATTAGAAGGGTACTTGTTACCTCCGTTTATGATCTAACCTTATGAATTTTGTAACGTACTTAATCTTTAAGGATTAATTTGTAAAGTGACTATGATGTATGGACTTTGAGAATGACACAATTTGCTTCATTATGCAATCCTAGGTTCTTTTTCTCACAGGGATGCTAATGGTTCTCTTGGAGAACTAAGTCTATGCTTTAATAAGTGTAAGCTACAATATGAGTATGTTGGAGAGACCCCATCTTCATCACGGAAGGTCTGTGGGGAACCCTGTAGCAGTTTATAGCTCTGAGACTGAATGGACACTATCATTTTATTGGAGTGGAAAGTGGACTGATGCATGGGCTTCCTTGGTGCCAGGATATTCATGTATCCATTATTTATATTCTAATATGGATTGGTGAAACTACAAATAGATGATAGTAGAAAGAAGAGTGGAAAGAAAGAATGACTGATTAAGCCAATTCCACGACTACTTAGCTATTCATCATACTCAAGTTGTGTCCACTTCTTTAGTATTTGTGTCCACACAATGACAATTAACTTATGTTTGGCTTAAGTAGTTTACCATCTTTAATAATCGTTCATCTTTTAAGATTTCCTAAGTGAATATTTGCAACGCTAGCAAGGCATAAATAGTGGTTTTCTCTTTGGTTTTCATGTCTACTATACATTCTAAAATGCTTCCGAATCTATCCAAAATTTGCCAAGTAAATACTCCTCCCAAATAAAAAGCTTTTTAGATTTTTTTTTGCACTGCAGGAATAGGATTACCCGCCTAAGGCCTGTAGGTATTCCCCAAATATTATTATTTTTTAATATCTATTTCCAGATTGGCACCCTTTCAGTTTATCTGTCTGTCTGCACATATTCCATGTCTTCAAACAATGTAGGATTGAAATTTTATTGTATAAGCATTACCAGGCTGCCCTTTGTCCTGAGTCGATTCCTAAACTGAGAATAGCCTGAAATGGAATCAGCTGAAATAAAACATCTGGATCCTTTTATGGCCTGGCTGTTAGATTAGTCTTCTGGGACTAAGTTTATATGTGTGCTCCAATATTAGTCGACTTGAATCAACCTATCTCTGCTCACTTTTATTAACATCAGAAAATGTATTTTTACATTAATGGAAATTTACCTCATTCACATCCACTGAGAGGATCCTATTTCCATGTGGTAGACCCTTTATTGTCTGTGGGCAGAGTTTATAGCAAGCAATTCTTGCTATTTCCTTAGTTTTTTTCAGAAGAAGTGCCCCTCTCCCCATGTTCGTATGTTTCCCCAACCCTTTCTATTGTGTTCAGTCCTTTTTTTTCATTTTTTCTTTATTTTTGACAATCTTTACATAGTTAATTATGTATCTGTTTTTACATTTTTTTCTGTAATGTGAATTGCAGTAGTGAATACTTCTGTAAGTCATTTAATTCCTACATGAGCTTATACATATAAATGAAGTCTCAAAACATAACATAGTTCCTCTTAATAGGGATGCTATATTAAATCAAATGCAAATGCGGCCACACGTTTATGGCATATTCTCTTTTCAGGAATACCACATATTGCAGCAAAGTTGCATTTCCGCTGGAAGTTGTTCAAAAAGACAGCTGCTTCAATTCCCGCATGAAACTCCCCGTGCATAGATTGTATATAGAATATGGAATTCAGAAGCTCACTTGTCCAGATGTAGATGGATATTTCCCTTCCAGTGTCCAACCCATCGTCACGTGGTATATGGTAAGCGAAGTCAAAGACATTTCATCATTTCTACCATGCTGATGCTTATTTTCTGGGTTAAACGTAGAAACTAAAGCTTTTCAGAATGTGTAATTTCCTAGTTAATAATTTTACACAAAACTTAGGTTCTTCATTTCTTACTATTTTAAGTGATATTGTATGTCATGCTTTTCCTCAACCTACCATTTCAGAAATTATATTTTCTAGATTACTAAAACTATCATTATTCTCTTAACTTCCTGTCGCAAACATTTTGAGAAATGATCCTTGCTTTTCCTTAGTGTTTAGAGAGGCCAGAAGGAAATGTATGTGCTGGATTCCAACTGCTTGATTAATCTACAGCATATTTTATTATTTGGATATTTTCTTTTTAATCTTCCTTTGCAAGCACTGTCTGTGATGTCTTCCACATCTGAGGGATTTGCGAAATATTTAACAGAAAAAAAAAAAGGGTTTAAAGGTTACACTTATGACATCGAGTTGAATTTTGAATCGCTTCTGGTCTACAGTCACACAAAAGACAAAAATTCAAGGACAGAGTTTATAGCAAAGCTCAGTAACAAGTTAGTCATAGGACACTTGCAGTGAGTCCAGTCACCCACCGCCCAAGACCATATGGAATCCATGCTATAATGGAGAGAAAAAGATACAAGTAGTGTTGCATCTGATAGTCTTCAAAAAACAGGAAAAGAAGGCGAGTATAAGAGAATGACAGCGAGAAGTTCTGAAGGGATTATAAGAAAGGGTCTAGTGCCTTAAAAAGATGAAGAGTGACTGGCCACACTGAAGAGAAGTTATTGAGACTGGAATGGAAAATAAACAAGACCAGGGCGATATCGAGAGGATAAAGAAGGACTGGCTAACAACCCTGCGGCATGGCAGATCCAGGGCATTCGTGACTGAGGGATGTCTTGAAGAAAAATCTCAGAAAAACTAGTCTTTTCATATTCTAAAGTTTAGATGAACAGGTTTAATATAAAAGTTGACATCAAGAAGAATGAAAGTAAAACCTCATCCAAAGTCACAAGAAAGGAGTAAAAACCAGAATAAAATCTCTGCTCAATAAAAGGAATCTTGGGTGCAGAGTGGTGGACTAGTGGCTAAAAGTCCTCACCTTGGATGCTCCAGGGTCCCATATGGGCACTGATTCTAATCTCATCCAGTTCACTGCTTGTGGCCTGGGAAAGCAGTTGAAGACGGCCCAAAGCTTTGGGACTCTGCACCCATGTGGGAGACCTGGAGGAGGTTAAGGGCTCCTGGCTTCTGTTTGGCGCAGCTCCAGCCATTGTGGTCACTTGGGGAGTGAATCATCAGGTGGAAGATCTTCCTCTCTGTCTTTCCTCCTCTCTGTATATCTGACTTTGCAATAAAAATTTTAAAAAATCTTTAAAAAAATAAAAAGGAATATTGAAAATATCTATCATTACAAACTATTTCAGAAATGAGCTAAAATAACATAAATAACAATTGTAACTCAGAAATTTATGTAACTCATTATAATCTTTGAAAGAAATAATTTTATAAATGAAGATAAATTAAAATGAAAATAATAGCAAAAAGAAAATTAAGTATGACGATAATGGCTCCAGATTAATAAAAGGTGACATAAAAAACTTTTTCAACCATATTACAAAGGTTAGTTATAATTGTATCATAAAAGTAGACAATGAGTATTATCATAAGAAAGGAATTTATTATAAAAAAAGTTACTTTATCATGACATAACCATAACAAAAGCATTTCTATCTAGTAGCGAAACCTCACACTTTATAAGGCAAAGGTTGTCAGAATTAAAAGAGAAATAGACAATCCAATACTTATAGTTGACTGTTTTAAATTATGTATCCATTTAAGTTTGTTAATGCAAAAGCTTACAAGGGAAGTTAAAGAGTCTTTTGGTCAAAGATGAACATCAGTACAGATGGAATCTTAATAATTTGAATCCTGTGAAATAGTTTAAATTCTAGCATTCCCCTTTATATTTCAGAAAAATTTAATGAGTTGCATTTGGATAGTGCTAGGAAATCAATTCATTCTCTCTTTTTCAGATATTCATTTTTACTTGTAAAGCATGGTTGCAGGATGAGAAGGAGAGACATAAAGAGAGATCTTTCATCTTCTATTTCATTACCCTTATGGTTTCCTCAGCTGGAGCAGAGCTGGTCCAAAGCCAGGAGCCTGGAGCATGTTCCATGTCTCCCACATGTGTTTACAGGCCCATAGTTGGGCCATTTTCAGCTGCCACTCAAATCAATGCTGACATGTAGAGGCTTAAACCTTCTATGGCACAGCACCAGCACAATCAACTCATTAACTTGAAAACTGGTAAATACAGAGAAATAATCATGTATTCATTTTTTTTTTCTAAGAGAAATCAGCTAATGCAGAATGTAGACTACTGAGGATATCGGTGAATTGTTACTTGTTTTTTTCCTCTGAAGATTTATTTATTTTTATTTGTAAGGCAGACTTACAGAGAAAAGGAGAGATAGTGAGAGTTGGTCTTCCATCCTCTGGTTCAGTCTTCAGATGACAACAGCCAGAGCTGAGCCAATTTGAAGCCAGGAAGCAGGGGCCTCCATTTGGGTTGAGGATCCCAAGGTCTTGAGGGGCCTTTGGCTGCTTTCCCAGGTCAGAAGCAGAGAACTGAATGTGAGGTGGAGCAGCCAGAAAAGGTGCAGCAACCTGAACATGAACCAAATCACATATAGGATGCTGGTTCCACAAGGTAGAACATTGCCCTTTTGCACTTGGCCATGATATGCCAAAGTTGTGCTCTCCAAAAGAATTTTATCATTAATAAGAACAAAATGACATACTTACAAATGAAATTATACATCCTCTGTGATTTGCTTTAAAATAATATTTTAGTACAGTGGATAGGTATATTAAATGAAATACGATGCAGCCTAATTGATACTTGTTGAGACAAAAAAGGTATAATAAGGACTCATTACATGTTCTCTCAGCAATTATATTTTTCAATGATGAGCTTCATGAAATGTGATGTAAAAATGTTAAGAATTTTTGTTGAAGTTACACTGCATATTCCAGTTCAAAACTGTTTCTCAACTTACTATGCAAAATCTCTAATCTCTAAATTTTGAGAGGTTTATTCCCATGTAAAGTCTATCTTTTTCCCTCTCCTTTCCCACATTCATTTCCTGTGCCCACAATGCCTTTTTCTCAGAACAGATTCTGCAAATTTCTTGAATTGTTTTTTTTTTCCTTCAGCCAAAAATTATTTTCTGAATATATATACTCTCATATCTATTTATTTATGGCTATTCTTAGTGTGACTTTATAAAATTCTTTTTAAAATGTTTTATTTATTTATTTATTTGAGCAACAAAGTTATGGAGAGTGTAAGAGGGGAGACAGAGAGACCTCTCTCTGCTTTTTTCCCCCTCAAATGACCACAATGGTCAGAGCTGAGTCCATCACAAGCCAAGAGCTGGGAGCTTCTTCAGGATCTTCCACATGTGTGCAAGGGCCCAAGCACGTGGGCCATCCTCTGCTTTCTCAGGTACATATGCAGGGAGTAGAATTGAAACTGAAGCAGCCAGGAATTGAACCAATGTCCATGTGGGATGCCCACAATGCAGGCAATTGTTTTACTTGGTATGTCACAGTGCTGAAGGCAATGCTCTTGCTTTTAATAGACATTGTATATACATCCAATAGGTACCAGCTGAAAATAAGTTGTGTCCAAGGTTTTGGAAGGAATAAGATGCATGCTAATATCTGTGTAATTTCTAAGGCACTACAATTTAATCCTGACAATTTCATAAAAAAAGAATTCACTTTCTTTTTCAATGTAAAATTCTAGGTTGTACAGATTTAAGCATTTGAGAAGAAATAACTTTTTTAAGACTTATTTTTATTAGAAAAAAATTACAACAAGAAGGAAAGGCAAAAATATCTTCCACCCCTTGTTTCCTATTCTGATTATTCACAATGGACTGAGCTGAACTGATCCAAAACCAGGAACTGGGGGCCTTCTTGTCTTCCACACGGGTACAGGGTCCCAAGGATCTGGGCCATCCTCCTCTGCCTTCCCATGCCTTAAGCAGAGAGGTGGATGGGAAGTGGAACAGACAAGACACAAATCAGTGCCTATATGGGATGCTACACTTGACATGGTAGGATTAGCCAGTTGAGCAGTCACACCAGGTCCTAACTTTTGGTCTTAAATGAATTCACATACCTGTTGAATGCATTGTTCTAACTGCCGCATAATTGAATCTTTGAGAAAAAAAAATGACCTTTGGTTTTAAGGAGGGGAATTCACATACAAGTGCCCTAAAACACTGACTCATGGAGCAGTTAGGTCAAGTCTATGTTTAAATCCCGGTGATTCCCAGGTTTTTGCTCACTGCACAAGTGGTGAAGCTATTAACTAAAGCATGGTAAAGTGGAGTGTAAGTAATGAGTTTAAGAAATGTCATGTTGAGTCGAAAGTTCCTGTTAGACATCCATGTGGAGGGAGGCAGTGACTGTGGGTGCCATGAATGTGACCTTGTAGTGTAGGATGAAAAGCAAGGATCAGATCTGAGCTATATGATCTTTGAAGCCCAGAGGAAGACTAAGCAGAATTTAATGAGATCTGGTGAGCTGGAATTCAGGGGAGACGTTTTGTAATATGAATGGAAACACTAAATGTGGGAAGGAGACAAAGAAACAAAAATACCACAACCGAAAAGCCATTATGCTGGTATGTGTCTAAGAATGTACAGATAGCTAGAAAGGGAGTGAATAAAGATCTCCCTCCTCCGCTTCTGATTAGGGACAAAACGGCCATTGGTGTGGAGCTATACTATTTTATTACTCTATCTTTGATTAATCCGGTGATGCCTTTTTCTATTATATTGGAAACAAAATCAAAGTTTTGAGTAATTGTATTCTCTGACCACTCTTTAGCACCGTTGACTTTGTTTTTAATTCTCTGCCTTTTAAAATCTTCCTTAAATATTCATTATCTTGGCCTCTCCACAGGAGTT